CCCCAAGAAGGTAAAAAAAACAGCAGGCAGCAGGTCCTGTTTTGGTTTCGGGGCGAAGCCGGCCCCATTTTTAAGGTGGGTCTCGCCGAGCTCCCACGCTTTGACGCCTTGCTCGGGCTGTGGCTTAAGCCGTCCAGCCGAGCCGATGGGAGATAGAGTCACTGGCTGTCTGCTGGGATGTTTCCGAAGGCGGGGCTTCAACACCAGTCTCTCCCTGTGGTCTTTCTTGAACATTGCCGCACCTGGCAATGCAGTCCTTGGTTGAGATGTTGGGAGGATTGGTCGCCCCACCAGTTCCCCATGTCGGACCCGTGCATTCGTCGGATGTAGTCAGGGCTTACCTTTGACGCCATAGGAAAACAAGGGGACCCCGATTCACTCTTTGGGGTCCCTGTAATTATTGTCCAGTGCAAGTTGCTTCGAGCCGATCCGAACAGATGATCAAAAGAGCGGAACAAACATGATTTGGAATGTTGCACGTGGTTTCTCCTGACCGGAGAGTTCCACATCTACTACATTGTCCCTGTGGGTCAAAAGGCCTGGCAGACAAACGATCTTCCGTAATGTCCAATGTTAGTTGTCTTGGGACATTTTGTTCTGAATTTTAGTATGGCACTTCAAGGGTGGTTGGTGAATATGCTGTCTACCAAAGGGTCCCCCATTAAACATCACACCCAAAGAATGCTTTATGTTGCTTGGGGGTTCCCAGCCATACCCTTAGCTTTTTAGCCTTTTGGTGATTTCCATTTAACCCACTAAAAGTTAGTCCCCTTTAGCAGAGGATCTGAGGACAGCCTAGTGTTGGAGCTTGAATTTTATCTTCGACTTCCAAAATGGTTCTGATCGAGGTCGAATGAGAGCAACCCTGCTCTTAGTTTTAGGAAAGGCTACTGAAGCCATGCGCATCGTCCCGCCCGAAACGCGACTCATTTGAGCAGCGCCCGTTCAACCGATACCTTTTGGCCATTTTATGCGGTCCTACCTGGTTTAATTGAAATAAGAGTAAAGCTTTTTCCTGCATAACCTTTTATAATCATATTAGTGGACCCAACTATAATTTGATTTTCACAACTAACTAGTTCAATTTGGATTATAGCAAGGCGTTTTTCTTCCTGGATCCACCTGTATAGGAAGGTTAGTAGAACCCAAAGTTAACGCGTTTGGGCGCTGATCTCAGATTTGAAGCAACCGCAACTGCGGCCGGACGGGCAACTGGATCGCGGTTGCCAGCGAGCCGGCGGTTTCCTGCGGAATGTAGCGTGTTTTTGGCTGTGATTTGAGTCGTTTCAGTTCGAACATAGGATCACAGAGGCTGGACATATGGGGGTTTCTCAAATTCAGGGGTCTCCTAAAATGCTAGTTTCCTTTGTCTCTCTCTAAAACCATCCAAAAGAGGTCCACCATGTGAGAACCCCAACCATATGTTCGTCTCCCGGAACCTTGTTTGGGACCGCCGGTCTTCGCGTCGCCGGGTCTTCGCGTCTTTGCTCGGGCGGTAGAGGATTAAAAAAAGCGGCCCGCGCTTGCGGGACTTCTTTTTTTGGCCGCGGAGGAGGCTGGGGCTTCAAACTTCGGAGGTAATTCACCGGGATCTCAGGGCCTGGACTCTGAGGTTCGGACTAATTACTCCGGAGCGTAGCTCATCAGGAATGCGGAATGCCTTCGGCTCCCCCGAAGGATAGGATTTGTCATTCGGGAGTTTGGGGGTTTCGATCTGAGGAACTTGAGCCAAGCGCCCATGTTTCAAAAACTGAACTTACAGGACAATATATATATATATATATATATACAGGATATGGCCCCCAAACACCACAACAAGAAGTTGTTTTCCTGTAGAATGTCCTGTAAGTTAAACCGGGGGTGTCGTTTTTGCGGGTTCCCATGTTTTTGGGTGTTTTAAAGGGACACCAGGAAGCCCCTCCATTTTGGGGCTCCGATTCCCAACAAAAGAGGACCCATGTGTATTTTTGTTTCCGCCTTTTGTGCAGGTGGGAGTCGTTTGGGGAAACAAATTTTCGGGTTGGTTTTTAGATTGGCCACGACTCGTGCCTGTGCTCGGGATTCGGGGCATTTGGTTTTGGAGGGGCGTGCCACTGTTTGCGAGATTTTAGCCCAAGTGAACCACGCCCAACCCGAAAACCATGGTCACCTTAGGTGGGAGTTGTTGTTTTAGGTGGTAGGTGGGAGTTATTTAGGTAGGAAGCCCCTTTTAAGGGTTGGTTTTTAGGTCGGAACCGGTGACAAGCCCCAAGGATCTACCTCAGCCTGGGCCTCCTGAGCGCCGCCTGCTGCGCCCTCGGCGGCACGGAGGCGCTGAGGCGCTGAGGCGGCAGCGGCTCGTCGTGTTGATTTTCCCGAGGCGAGCCCTTTTTTGGGGTTGGTCCAAGAGAAAGCCAAAAGGAACATCATGTGTTGTTTTTCTTAAAGCAAATAGATAAATAAACACACAAAGTTATTTTTCTTCTTTACATATGTTTTACCCTTCTTACCCTCCCATCCAGGTTGGGGTCTGCCTTCTCGCGAGCCAAGACCCCCGAAAAACGTGATAAGTGGTCAGAAGAATGGCCCGGTTTGCTATCACAGAGAGAGGTAGTTATTTCCCACAGCCATGTGCACGTCAGGCAGCCCCACCCCTGGTTCTTGTGGAGGGCAAATGGGAAACCACGCCGGAACATCTGGACACCACTCCAAACCGCCAATTACAGGCAAGCTGAGATTAGGACTTGTTTGCTTTCGCCGCCAGCTGAAGCCTTTTGCCAACGCCCGAAGGATTAGGAATGGGTGAGAACTGAGGCCAAACTGGGCCAAGCTAAGCTCCTGCACAACCCCCTGGGCAAGCAAATTCTGGGGTGCTTTGTTTTTTCCTGCTGGCTTGAGCTGCAAAAGATAATGAGTCGTTTTCTGCTTCGCAAAGCAAATGGAAGCTTTGGAGGACTTTGCTCATCGATTGTCCCTGATGCTTGCGATACGAACATTTGCGGTACCTCATTATTCCCCCGAAAGGGCTTTAGGTTTCCACTTTCTTTGCTGCCCTCGGGAATAAAGTGCTCATGGGGATAGATGCGAATCGTAGAAAGTTTGACAGAGAAGGGCAGCCATTTTCAACAGCCATGGGGGGATGTTTTCGACCCCAATAGTTTGGGCGCAGAAAAAATGGAGGGCGAATCGGAGGTCAAGCACGGAAATCAAAGCTCGAACCATGCTCTAAGATGCGGTTCACAAACATCCCCAAGACTCTACAGACCTGCCCCCAAAGAACAAAGACACCAGCCGTCAAGTCAGTTTATTCAGTCACATTTGGCGACTGAATTTGGACTCCTTTGTTCCACGTAACATGCGGGGAGTTAGTTCACCCCCAGTGAACCGCTCTTCTTCCCCCAGACCATCCACGCTCAACCCTTGATGAAACCAGCGCTGGGGTCAACTCTCAGTGTCTTTTTTGGTGAAGCGAGCACTTCCACAAGAAGGCCCTTGACAAGGGGCATGTGTTTTCGTCAGTTGGTGAATCGATACACTCCGGGAAGTTATAACGGGCTCACTCGGGGGCAAAGGAATTGAGTCAATTCCTTTAGTCGGTTTGTGAACTATCGTCGTAGATGTAGTATGTGCGGGTGTGCTGGACCCCTTGTGGAAGAGGCAGCCTCTTCGAGCACGGCAATCGAATCGGACGAACATTTGTTTGCTCGGGATCAGCAATTTTGCTTTTGGGATTGGCCATTTAGCCCTGGGCAACGGAGGCTAGTTGCAGAAGCTTTCCAAGAGCCGGTCAAGCTGCAGCAAATGGTTCGACCAAACCCCGAGATCGTGAAGGGCACATGCGCTTTCCAGGGCCAAATGGAACCTCTGCGGCGCTTTGCGGCTGCGGTGTGGCGGCAAGGTGATGCGCAGATAGGATGGAAGCAGTGAATGGCAATGCTGAGAGTTTCAACGACCAGCTTTCTTCTGACTGATCCAGTCAGGAAGCGTTTAGAAAGGAGGGAAGTATCAGGAATACTTGAGTTAGGATCGAAACCCGCTATTCAGCATTGTCATACGCTTCCTGCTCACAGGAAGGGCAACTTTCACTCTAGGGCCCCTTGTCAAGGGCTGTTGTCATGTACCCCTGAAGATGTACCCGATTGAAAACCTAACCAGTTTCTTTTCCTCAATCAAGGGAATGTAAGGAGTGAGAGGATGGATGAAGGTGGATCTCTTCTTTGCTATCAATGACTTGTCAAGTTAGAATCTATTAGCACTCACATGTTTATGATGTATATATGAGCAGCTTGCAATATGCAGGTCAGTGAGGTTCAGCGAGGAAAAAGCCCCGACAATGCAGCGACAATAGATCCCTTGGCTATGTGCGGTCGATCCATTTTCGGAAGCGCGGCCGAGCAGCAGCCAGAAAGGTGTCCGAGTGGCCGAACGATCCCGGCTTGGCGTTTTTTGTTGGAGGAAAGGGGTGCCCGCTGGCCCTTGCTATGGTCATGAAAAGGCCCCGCCATCACTTGGGATCAAAAGGAAGCAGAACCAGACTGGAAGTTTTGACCACGGCTGCCCTTTTCATGGTCATGAGCCCCTTAGGCACTTGGGACCACAAGGGTTCCAAAGGGACGCAGGACCAGGACTCTGGGAGTTTTGACGGCTCACCTGGATCGGGGCGAGATCGGCTTGTGCAAAGTTTTTTGTTGCTCACCACTTTTGGGGGACACAGGGCACTGCCCGTCTTACGGCTCAGATGGTGGAAGCTGCATCAACAAGCCGACAAGACCCCTTCACCTTGGTGTAATTCAGAAGTCGAAGGGAACCAACCATTTTTGCGGTCCCCTACTGTGGATGGTTGTGAAATCCGTTCGCATCACTTGGACACCGCTATGCTGGAAACCATGGTTGGTTGGTGTTTATGTTCGGGGATCGAAGCATAAACCAGGGTTTCTGAATGGTGGTGCAAAATGGCTCTCGCAACCATCCATAGTATCTTGACATCTCGCCATAGGTCCAAAGGCATGCTTCTCAGCCAGGCTTGAAACCAAGATGCTGGGCAACGATGCGAGCTACCTGGCGGGCTGGCCGGGGTTGTGCACCTCTTGGGCTGCAGAGAACGTTCTCCCGCTTCTGTCCAACAAGTCACGTCAGCTGGTTACAGAAGTTGCTTCCCACTTTTGTGAGGTCATGCCATCGGGCATCCCCGGGCTTCGTGATATGATGGGTGTGTTTTGCTTGGATACCCTTTTTGCCGTGGTTTTAAAGGGACGCCAGAAGGACCCTTGCCATTTGTTGGGTGCGCCCCCCTTTTTTGAGGAACCAACCAGAACCGCCTGCCATTTTTAGTGGACCCCAATCTAGAGAAACGGGGGTTGATCAATATTCCTGGGTCAAATCTTCTTGGGCGGTTTCCAGAATTACCCCATGTTTACCGGACCTTTGGATCAACCCCCAAACCGCCAAGATGCCGCTTTCTTTTTTTTGGGTGCCACTTTTTGGGCGGTCTCAAAAAGAGTCCAAACCCAAAACGCCGATCTTCCGGGGAAAAAAACAACCAAGACATGTGCGGCGCCCAACATGGGTCCGGCCCACGGGGCCTCTTCTCTCCCCGCTCGTCCCCCCGTTTCCGCCAGATCACCTTCGTGGACACGGAGTCGGCCACTTCAGCCCGGGCTCTGACCAGGGGAAAGTGGGCTCTTCCGCTTTCCTCTCCTGTTGGACACAGTTGTTCCTTTCAGGGGCTTACCCTCCCTCCAACAATCATGGAAGTGGAAGACGATTTTCCTTTTGGGGAGCCCCTTTGTGCACCTCCATGATTGTTGGAAAGAGGGTACTAGCTAGATCTCTTTTGGAACATGGGTGGGTTGGGAAGGAAAGGGCAAACCTCAGGTTGAAACCTGGGGCTTGGGTTTAGGGGAAGGGAAGCCCAAAGTTGAAACTCCCTGTCCCGGTGGTTGACATCTCCGGACCACATTGCGAAACGCAGATCTGTCCAGAACCAAACCTGGGGCCGCAAATGCCTTGCAAGCGGTTTGCGCTTTGCAGCTGGAGGAGGACCCGTTTCTTTCGTTCCCGGAAGTCATGATATGATCAGGAATCAAAGGGCAGGAGTCAAAGGGCGCTTCAAAGGGGCCTGCCAGGTTGAGTTGCCCACGCAGCACCTGAGTGCTTTTTGTAGGCTTGGAAGTGAACATCTGGGTTTCGAACTCTGGAACCTATCTCTTGGTACCAGCCACAAGTTCTGAGGGACTCTAGTGCTACCTTCCATTTTTTTTTGCAGGGATCCTTCTAGAAAACCTCCGAAACCCAGGGAAACGGATCCGGTTTTCGAAGAGAACGATGGATGGAAAGAATGGACAAGGAATCAACCCCTGGAATGTTGGTTTCCTGTTTTTGGCTTCCTGGACTTTATGAATCTATGATTCGATTGGACCCTTTACGGGGTTCCATGGTCTGCAGGGAAGTCAACCGTGGTTTAAACACCATCCGCGGGGTCGATGCAGTTGCGTCTCTCCAAATCAGGCTCCCCTTTCAGAGTGCGTGTTGCAAAAAACCAAAAAGGACACCGGAAAGCACTTTTGAGTATTGAGGGTCCGATTCGCTGGTGAAATCGCTCACAAGCCAAACCCTGCGTGAAATCGGTCGCGATTCCATTTCCTTAGGATCGGTTTGATGTGGCTGTGGCTCAAAAGACCGGAATTCCAAAATGGACCCCTGGTAAGTGGAAACATAGACCACCTGCGGTTTGCCCTGGCTCTTTAATTCTGAGAACCACACCCATTTGGCTCTGACTTTAAATCGGCAACCCTTGAACGGACTTTCCATGCGGAATGGGAATCGCCAACCAGTCATGTTCTTTGGGTGAGGTCCTGAAGAAGTACCTGGGCCACTTCGGCTCCGGAGGCGGAGCCTCTCGAGCTCAGCTTCTCCGGCTCGAGCCGGAGCTTCTTCGGGGTCGCTCTTTTGGGAGGGCTTTCAAGGGACGGAACAAGAGGACACCAATTCCATTGTTTGTTGTTTGTTTATTTGTTTGCTTTTTTGTTTGTTTGTTTGTTGTTTGTTTGTTTGTTTGGCTTTCTTTGCTTGTTTATTTTGCTTTTGTGTTTGTTTGTTTGTTGTTTGTTTGTTTGTTTGTTTGTTTGGCTTTCTTTGCTGGTTTATTTTGCTTTTGTTGTTTGTTTGTTTGTTGTTTGTTTGTTTGGCTTTCTTTGCTTGTTTATTTTGCTTTGTTTGTTTGTTTGTTGTTTGTTTGTTTGTTTGTTTGTTTGGCTTTCTTTTTTGTTTATTTTGCTTTGCTTGTTTGTTTGTTTGTTTTGTTTTGTTTTGTTTGTTTGTTTGTTTGTTTGTTTGTTTGTTTGTTTGTTTTGCTTTCTTTGTCTGTTTGTTTTGCTTTGTTTGTTTGTTTTGTTTTGTTTGCTTTGTTTTGTTTTGTTTTAACTGTTTTTTGTTTGTTTGTTTGTTTGCTTTGTTTGTTTGCCTGTTTGTTTTCCTTTTTCTTTGGGGAAGGGGGTTTTCCTCTTTTAATTGATGACAACGGCACATTATGTTGTTTTTTTTTTTTGGAGGCTTCGGAGGCCCTTTTTGGGGTGGTTTTAAAGGGCGCACTGAACCAACGGTGCCTCCTGGAGCTAAGTGGTTGGGGCTGGGTTGAGTCAAAGGCTTCGGAATTGTAAAAACTGGCAGATCTTTAGTCATGGTCCACAAAGGATAATCTACTTCCAAAGCTGCACGCAGGCTAGAGGGACTTTCCCGCAGAGTAGCTTCCTTGCGCTCCTTTCGGACCTCCCGAGTGGTTCGGAGCCGTTTCGGAAGTGTTCGAGTTGCTTGAAGGGTGCAAAGGTGGTTGCTGTTGGGGACACCCGGGCTTAGTTTGGAGGGGCATTCCCTGTCAAATCAATTATGTTCCCAGGGCCACGGCCGAAGGTCTGGGGAGGTCAGCTTGGGAACCCAACAAATCCAGATCAACTTGAGGAATTGCCTTTCCCAAGAAGGTGATGGCTTAAACCATCCGAAAATGTTATGGGAAATCCCGTATGCCAACACCCACCACCGCTACCAATGTTGAAACTCCCCTGCGGGGGGGGGGGGGGGGTTGTCCAGTTGGTCACCTGACCTCAAACAGTTGCAAATAAACCAGTAACTAGGGGGGGTCGGGGTTCATATATGAGCAACGGACAAACTGGCTTGTTTCCCCAAAACCGCATGGCAAAATTGGGGCCGGTCACCTGCTTTTTTGGGTAGGGAAAGTGGGTGGTCCCTGCATTCAGCCTATATGGCTGCAGCTAAAAACAGCAAAATCTGCCCGCCCCCCTCCCCCCCCTCCCTGAGCCACGGCAATTATTGCAGAATTCAGCCAGAGACGATGCGTGTTCCGCGAAGAGAGTATATTCTTGCAAGTGTTTGTAATCATATGGCAAAGTTATTGTGATTCTGCCATTTTGGGCCAGTTATAAATAAAGGGGTCACTACGGGTTTTTGCAACGTCAACCATGATGGTTTCTTTCACGAATTTCAATATTTTGTCAGACTATGTTTCAGCCTTTGAATATTGGGGTCTGAATTTTAATGGGGGACCCTACTGCAAATTGTCGGCATCAAACTTCTGTGGAGTCAAAAGGTCCACCAACCGCTTGCGAGGCGGTTCTCAATCAATCTTCATAGCCATTTGGGTGTGTCTGTTTTTGAAGGTTCCTTTCTGACCAGTTTGAACTTGAAAGGGAAAGCCGAAAGGGAACCACTCCTTTTTGGGTCCAAAACCTAGACACACTCGTGTGTCCTTGGGTGGGGGTTCCTGTGGTTTCCCTTTCAACCTCCGAAGGGCTCGCGCATGCCGGAGACAGTCGCCAGGCTACTCCCGGCCGGTCCGCCTCCGAGCGTTGCCGGAGCAGGAAACCGTGAGTTGACGAGTCTCGAGTCGAGCCGCTTTCGAATGAAGCGTTTGGAAGTGTAAGCCAAGAGGAAACGGGAAACCAAGGGGAAACCAAGAGGGAAATCAAGAGGGAAATCAAGGGGAAAGCAAGGGCAAACCAAGGTTGAAACCAAAGATACTGGACACTGAATCCGTGTGTTTCTGGAATTCTGGACTTCTGTTTGGCGGCGATTCATAGGCAGGCTTCTTTGGTTGAGTTTTCTGAGATCCTCCCAACAAGCGCGGTTTACCAAACAGACACTCTTCCTAGTCGATGACCTTCCATTTGCGCCTTTGTCTTTCAAGAAGCCAAGAGCAACTCTCATGACTTGCCTGGAAGCAACCCCCAAGCTCTCTGTTTTCATATGTTTTTGGCTGTGCAGCACCTTCAGCTTTGCCACGTCTAGTTGCCAGAAGCATCCATTGCAAGCGTTGCATTTGATTTTCAATAGGTCTGTCTTCGCATCCGTGAGCATTGCACAAACTCCCTGGACCATGAGGAAGAACCAGAGGTCGCTCCGGATACAGCATGTGAAACATGTCCAAATTGCTGTTGTTTCAAGATCTTCAAACATAATTGATGTTCAGTGAGTTCGGAGGCTCCTCTCTAAGGGCTGGCAGACCAAGCACTACACTGGGGTACGCCAGAGCTGTCCCGGAGCAGACTAAACACAACTTTGAGACTTTTGCTGGACGAGTTCCCACCTCCAGTGCCCAGATTTCCTTTTCGGGAGGGGTTCGCCTTAGGATCCCACTGCCCCTAGAACGGGCGGCGGTTGATCCGGGTTTCGCACCTGCGCAGGTGTCTGCTGGGTCTTGGTTCGGCTTGTGGTGAGCCTGTGAGCGCTTTTTTTCGAGTGGGGGCACCCAAATCGGGTGCCGCCTGGCTTCCCAAGACCCCAAATCGGTACCCTCAAGAGCCCCTCGTTTGTGAGGGAAGGTTCTGGTGTAGCGATATCATTGGAGCCAGTGGCACGTGCTTAGGTAAAACGGAGTCATCCGGGTGTGCCTTGTTTGGAGAGTCGTCACTCGTTTTGGGTCGTTGCAGAAGATACAGGATACCACTCATTTTGGGGTCGCATTTTTCCGTAAGACACACCAGTTTGGGAAAACCAGTTTGGGTAAACATTTCGGGAAGACCACTTTTTGGGGGTTACCAGTTTAGAGGTAAACATAATATCAGTTTTCTTTTTAGTTTTTTTTTTTTTTTTTTGGGGGGGGGGGCGGCGGCAAATCCACGCAGGCAGTGAGTTTAAGACACATCCGGATTGATCCGATGTTAATGCGATCTTTGCGCCGCTTGCTTCGCTTGTCAAGGGCACCAGGTGATCTTTGGACGCCCGATTCACCACCGGCGCGCGTGAATTTGCCTGTTGGGAAAAGGCAATGCGCAGGTGGAGCACTTGCATGCATTTCAATCTCTTTTTTTGCTTCAAATAGAAGAACAACAACAACAACACGTCACATGCAATGGGTTTTATTAAAAAAACAAACAAACAAACAAACAATGAAACAACAAAAAACACTACAATGAGTGAGAACAACTTGGTCGAACGCCGGCCATCTTTGGATTTCGTTGGGGCCCTTGACCACCAGAGGCGGCGCTTGGCGCAAGGCGCACGCCGCGTGAGGCGGCGCTTGGGCGCTTTGGAGGGCGAAAGCGAGCGGCGCCAGAAACCAGCGAAGAGTTGGGTCGGGGTGCTTCGCGAGTCGGGAGCCTCGCGCATTGGGGAAGCCGCGGATTGGGATCCGAAAGGTCCGAAAGGTCCGAAAGGACCGAAATGTCAGGTGGAGAGCGGGTTTTTTTGAGGTCAAGCTAGGAGGCGGAAGCTCGGTTTCGGGTAAAAGAGCATGGGATCGATCCCCTTTTGGGGTTTTTGGGCCGGTCTTTTTGTTGCGTAGAAAGCTCAGGCGACCCCACTCGTTTTGCGGGCTCCCCCTTCTTTAAGACAAATTCAAGTGGTTGGTCTTTTTTTGAGGGTTTCAAAGGAAAACAGAAGGGAACATCACCATTTAGGGGGTCCACTAAAAAAGACACACCCATATGCATGGGAGTCTCCGGTGGGTTGCCCCCTTCCACTCACAATCACCCCTGATGAGAACAGTTGGTTTTGAGCAACAAAGGAAACACGCGTGAGACAAACCATGTCAAGGGTCAACAAAACTCGGATACTAGGAATCCTTTTGATGGTACCATCCCATTTTTCAAGGAACCTACTTGACTAATTTGGGTGGCCCTTTTTGGGTTGGTACTCAAACAGAAATAAAACGGACACCACCCACTTTCGGTGGGATTCCCTTTTTGGGAACCCTCTCCCAAATCTCTGATTTTTCAACCCAAATCCATCTTTTGCAGTTTTCAGGGCATGCTTTTCACCTCGGTTTACGCGGCAGCCAAGAGGAAAGCCGTGATGAAAAAAGGGTCCTCCTATTTTGAGGGCACGGGAGCCCACATCACCCTTCTTGGAACGCCCCCCCCACCCCCCACCCCCTTCTTGGAACGCCCCCCCCACCCCCCGCCCCCCACCCCCCACTCCCCACCCCCCGCCCCCCACCCCGCTCTTTGAGGCGCCTCCAGCCCGGCGAATCCGTCCCCGCCGAAGGCGGAGGGCCCGGCGCGGAGCCCAGAAGCCCAGACCGCTAGAGGTGGACATGGCTGGGTGGTGGTTTTTTGGTTGCCATGGTGAAAACTGGGGGGGAGGAGGGGATGGTGATTTTCTCCTTAAGCCCGAAAGCTTTTCTTTTTTGGGTACAGATGGAACCCTGCAGACCTTGAATTGCGCTTTTAACAGTGTACCATATTCATGGGATCATGATGCTTTGCATCATCTACCCTGGGAGGTCTGAAAGACTTTAAAGGTTGCCAACATATTTTAAGTTTGTCATCAATCTCGGAGATACCCCCCCCGGAAGGACAACTTTCAAGAACCCTGAAGAAGAGGGGCTGTTATTACTGGGGTCACTATTTTGAGTCTTTCTGGGGTTATTCAATTCAGAGCATGGGGTCGTTTCCCTGCCTACCACCAGGGGTGACTTTGAACGTGGTCAAACACCTCCGCCAGCTAAGCAAAAAAAGCAATGCTTCAAACAATAATGGGACCAGCTAAGTATAGAGCAGAATCCTTTGAACAAATAACAAGGCCGGCTAAATAATTATGAAACAGAATCCTTTGAACAAATAAGAAGGACAGCTCAATATGGAACAGAATCCTTTGAATAAATTAGGAGGCCAGCTATAAGAACATAATCCTTTGAACTTTCAACAAAAGAGCAAAGCCAGCTACATTTGGAACATAGTCCTTGCACAAATAACGGGGCCAGCCAAATGTGGAACGGGATCCTTGAACAAATAAGAAGGCCAGCTAAATATGGAACGTATTTCTTTGAACAAATAAGAAGGCCAGGTAAATATGGAACAGCATCCTTTGAACAAATAATAAGACCAGCTAAGAATGGAACATAATCCTTGCACAAACAACGGGGCCAGCTAAATATGGAACATAATCCTTTGAACACATATTGGGGCCAACTAAATATGGAACATCATTTTTTTGAACCATTAGCGGGGCCTGCAAAGTGTGGAGCAGAATCCTTTGATCAAATTTCGGGTCCAGTTAAGTATAGAACAGGATCTGAACACATCACATCCTTTTTGGTGTAATTCCCCTGAGCTCCCGGCTGAGAGTTGTGTGGTTTTTGCCATTTATTGGGCTCCGGAGTGAGGCGGGGGGGTCTGGACCAGGGTAGCTGGGGATTGCCCTTAGTTGGTTTGGATTTGAAACCCTTCAACTCACGAATCCAAACCAGAGGGAAGCTGAGGGATGAGGTTTTAGGGCGGGGTGTGGCTTTTGTCGATTTTTCCGGGTCCAACATTTAAATGGATTTTTCTTTAGGACCAGATTGCTACCCCTTCCCAAGCAAGGGAGCAAGGAAACTCTCTAATTTGCCCCACTTGTTCCATGGTTTTGTCACGAAGTATGTGAATCGCACCCTCTGATTGACCGCAACTGGCCGTGTTTCTTGTGGTTGAGATGGTTGTTTTACTTGCAACAGGACTCGGCATGCGTGGCTCGACTCGAGGTGCCGCGGCTGTCGCAGAAGGCCTTCCCGCCCGATTTGAAGCGACGTGCAGGCTGATCCCTCTTAGAGACCCATACCATTCACCCCACCCCGCGTGTACTTGCCAGCTTTTTTTGGGGTATATTTGGAAGAATCAGGTTTTTCAAGGGTCAGGGGCTGACATCATTTGACATCATACCCTCAAAAAGAAGGAGTAGTGCGAGCGGGGGGTACATAGTTTAAAGGAGGATTTGCCCACATCTGATTTCGCCATCGGCAGCTTGACTGCTGATGAATTGGCTCAAATGATCTTGCAGATTTGGGCAAATGAAATCGTGACCTCTCGCAGGGTTTGGCTTGTGAGCGATTTCACCAGCGAAGACGATGTATTCGGTAGGAATCGGACCCTCAATACTCAAAAGTGCTTTCCGGTGTCCTTTTTGTTTTTTGCAACACGCACTCTGAAAGAGACGCAAATGCATCGACCCCGCGGATGGTGTTTAAACCACGGTTGACTTCCCTGAAGCAGACCATGGAACCCCGTAAAGGGTCCAGTCTAATCATAGATTCATAAAGTCCAGGAAGCCAAAAACGGGAAACAACATTCCAGGGGTTGATTCCCCATTCTTTTCAATTATCGTTCTTTTCGAAAACCTGCCGTTTTCCTGGGTTTCTGGAGGTTTTCTGGAAAGAAGGATCCCTGGAAAGAACGGGGAAGGTAAAAGTAGAAACATAGGAATGTTGCCTTGAGGCTTTTGTCTCTTTCCGCAGGCGATTGATCAACTCGGCGAGACAGAGGCGGGCGTTGCCAGAAACCGGGAGAGTCTTCCTTCTGATGCTGCCTTTGATTCTGGGTTTGGGTTTTGGGTAGTCTGTTTCCAACATGGGCCATTTGGGTGTTTTTGCGTGATTTTTTCTCTTTTTTTTCCCCAGGCAGTTACCCCTTTTCGGGAGTGTTTAACAGGAAGCCGACCAGTTTGGGGGTCCCGACGGTTGCAAACGCCTTTTCAAGAGGGCTCTGGTCTTTCAATCCTTGCCTGTATGCTTTAGCACTATAAGCAGGCAAATGTTCGTTGTTGCTTCATGTTTTGTATAACACCCCCAGAATGAGCGGTTCCCTTTTGGTTCCCTTCCAAACAAGCCTAAAAAGCGCCGCAAGGGCCCAGGGGTTTTCCACAATTTTGTAGAACAGGTGGAAGATCGAATTTTCCTGGCGGGTTCTGCCAACGGCACAGTGCCAGTTTTGGTGGTTTTCCATTTCAGAAGTGAGGACCGGGGGCTGAGGAAGGACGAAACTATCCCCTAAAGCAGCTTTGGGAGCGATAGCCAGAGGAAGACACGCCCACTTTTATCTGCCTGAGCCCGTATCGAGTCCAGACAGCGCCCGGAAACCAATCCCGCTGCGGTCAAGGAGGCCTCACTGGCCAAATTTTTGTGGGCCTAACGGCCTCACGGCCGAGCCGTTTCTTCCTTTCAGAGGCTTTGATTCTTCGAAGAAGCCTCGCCCCAGCCGGGTGTTTACCCAACAAAGGACACCAGGCCGTGGGGTGTCACAACGAGCTCGCGCCTGCGGCCCGCGGCACACCCAAAATCACCCCGCCGAAAGGGCCATGTTGGTGGGTTCTACTACCTAGTTCCACAGGGTGTATGGCAATTGAGTTGCATAATAAACATCTCTTTTGCTCCCTAGGGCAAAGTCTCCCAACTCGGCATCAGCTAGGACTGATTTCAAAGTCCACTGCATGCTCAAAAAGGCACTTCAGCATCAAGGTGGGACAAATTCAAAGTCCAACTGCATGCTCAAAAAGCACATTGGGCCAGGACCGATTCAAGGCCCAACTGGATGCTAAAAGAGGCACTTCCTTTCCATCTCTCCTATTCTGCGCAGCAAGCTTATCGCTCGCATTATGCACTGAAAAATTCAGCTAAACAACAAACCAAACAAACAAAAACTCACGAAACCCACAAACAAGCCAGCACAGCCTGGGCTCTTTGGCTTAAAAACTCGATTCGGCTCCGGCAAACAGGCGAAAGCTCATGAAGGAAAAGCTGGGCCCCAACTTCCTGAAGATAAAACTCCAAAGTGCGTGTTCGCGCCCACCTTCCCCGCCATGCGATCAGTGGAATGTTCTCCGTGGCCAGATAGAGGGCCGTGGCGCCCGATCCTCTGAGCACCCCAGGTGTGGCGCCGCGCTCGGTCTGCTTTCGCGGGATCCCCAGACGATCCATGACAGCGTTCCACTGCCGACGGTACACTGCCATAGAAGCCGGGAAAAGCCGACACGAGGGTTCCAAAGCTCCAAAAAGTGCATAGCACAAACGAATGGCCCAAGGGTCGTCAATTTTGCTATGCTGTCTGCGGGCAAGACGGGCTGTTTTGGGCTGGCGCAAATGAATGTACAAACTCTGCACAGCACCTAACGAGTCTTGGGGGAACAAATCGGATCGGAGAAGTGGAACAAACTCAGCGGGGTGAAGCATTGCCAAAAATCCAATCACGGTTATACCAACCCAGGAAGGCCAGTTCCATAGGCTTGCTAAGCATAACGCAGCTCGCAGCACAGGAGCTGACAGAACTGCGCGGCATGAGCCAGGTTCCTCTAACTGCCATCTGCGGTCCACCTGCCACGCGCCGGCAAGCTCATGCCTGTACTGCGGCCATTCGTTTTGCACAGCCGTCAAAGCATACACGAACATATATCTTGGCAGGCCAGAGGAGAAACAAGCCTTCCCGTATAATCGCAAAGCCAAGGCGGTGCTTTCGCTTGAGGCCAAGACTCGCTCCGGGTCCATGTTTAGTTCCTGAGCAACCCAAACACAAAAGGCATCCAAACAGGTTTTCATCCTTTTGGCAGTTGCTGGCGCAAAACCGACAGCCATGTCGAGTTCACCTCTAGGCACACGTGGGCGATGTGGGCCAGGGTTTGGCTCAATGTCGCCCGCGAGCAGCAAAAGAAAACGTAGCCACCTTGCGGCATTCTTGGGGTAATGGCTGGCAGCAACTACGCGATCAAAACCGCTGACGTCACCTTGCTGCAAATCCACCAACCACTGGGGCTGCTCCCGAGACGGACCTGGGACTGGACGTCCTCGAGAAGGGCCATCGGCTCTGTTCCACGCTGATCGGCAGTGCAGCGCGCCAGGGTAGAGGCCACCCCCCAAGATGTACCCAAGTGAGGTTCGGAAGACCCGCCCCAAAGCAGAAGAGCTCGATCTGCCCTTCGCGCTGGCGCCGATTGTGACACGGGAATCAAGAAAGACAAGCAATCGTTGGCTCGGGTGCGCTTTGGAAGCGTGCTTTAACCAGCTTTTGTAGGTGCGAGCTTCTAGCACGTTGATATGGCCCGGGGCTTTAAACTTGTACCTAAAAAGTTCCTTAAAAGGCAAACTTTCACAAAGTTCAAAGACCCAGTCAGGATCCTCAAGGGCGAAACTCAGGGGTCTCTGGGAGAAGCGCAGCCTCGGGATTTCAACGGCCCCTTCTGCCAAGCACCGCGCCTTCCCCAGAGCCAACAACCGCAGAGCTCGCGGGTAAGTCGCAGCGGCGGAGATACTTTCACCTTGGGCATGCGGCCGTACACTTCCTGGGACGGCTTGCGATGCGGGGCAAAGCTATCAATCAGTTTCTTGGTGAAATTTCCCTTCCTGAAATGGCTTCCCTTTCGCAGGCATGAGCACGGACGCTTCAAGGGCAACAGCCAAGGCTTGTTGTGAAGCCATGTTGAAGGCTTATTAAAAGCGCTTCCGTAGTTGCAAAAGGCGTACGAAGAGATCACACAACCCTGAGCGACCAGTTGCGTGAAGATGTCCAAAGCAAACATGACAGAGGACCCTGGTTGCTCACAGCTTACAAATGCCCCGGCCCTCATAACAAGCAAAAGCAAAAATGCTGTTCGCTGCGCTGGCCTGGTCTGCTCCAGCGTGGCCGGGTCAAAAGGCGAGAAACCTGCTGGCATCCGCCTTGAGCGCAGACGTGGAGTCCTGAGAGTGCCAAAGCTCCAACACGGGGGTCTGGCATGCCAATCGCCCACAACACCTCGCATGGCTAGGCTGGCAAGCTCATGGAAGATCGCATCTTCAAGCAAAGCCTTTGCGTGAAGGCTACGACCCTTTTCATTCATTCTCGGGTGAACTGAATACCCTTCATTGCTATGCTCCAGGGACCAATTGCCCGCTGGGGAAAACAACTCGATGCAATCATAGAGGCAGCCCTCCTTCAAAGCTGGCATCGGGCGTGAGCACGGCAGCGCAGCGGCGACAGCACTTGCTTCAGCTAGCTCATGGCCAGCAGCAGGCTCATGGTCAAGCCCCCTTTCGTGCAAAGCTTCACTCGCACCGCTCTGGAGATGCGTGTGAAAACCCCTTTGTTCAGTGTGGCGCCACAGTTCTTCAACAGCACTGGTTGTGAGACTACTGCGGCAAATGCCTGCTCCAGAGGGGGGCGTCCATCATATACACAGAAGGGCACACACTTGCTCGTAGATCTGCCTGCGCGAGTGAGCCTAACAAACTTAAGCACGGCAACTCATTGCGGGAATGAGGGTCAAGGCAGAAAGGCTCGTCCGGCCGTAATGCTTTTCCAGCATGGAAGATTGCGTTCATTACAGAAAACAAAGGCCGTCGAAAGAGGCACACATGGATCCAGCAACCTGTCACACATTCCAACAACTGGCGCGTCACCACACCCCCCTGCACAACTAGCATGGTAAGAAATGACAAAGCGGCAACTCTGACACGAGGGGCGCCAACTTTACCACGGTCCCCCTCAACCTCGGCCCCCACTACTACCGCCGTGGCCTCCTTTGCGGCGCACTTTTCCGGGATGAACAACTAGGCCGACTTCCGTGTAGGCACGGCCAGCGTTTTCAAAAAACAACATCACTCCGAGTGCGACCGCCAACATTGAGCTCCTTGCGCTTGAGTATCTCAACGCCTATATATGTCGTCAATTGTCAAGAGTTCAATGAAGAGTGACCGAGGTATGGGTCTGCGATGCATGAGTGTTTCGTGAGCCCTCATGCAAGCGGCGCGAATCCTCAGAAGGTTGACGTGAGATTGCTGGGCAATTTCCACGGCAAGCCCATCTCCCATTGCAAGTGTGCGTAAAGCTATGTATACCGGAGAAGTGTGCTTGCTGGAGCAAAAACAATTCAGGTGCTGAACCTCGGACGGCTGGAAAGCAATGCCAATTGCGTTTCTAGAAGCCCGTTTTGCAGAAACCGCAAAAGTGTAGTAAAACTCTGACAAGTCGTCCGAAGAGACACGTAGCACCTCATCTTGCTCAAGCCGAAGCAAGGACAAAAGATGGCCGGGGGCTATGGTCTTAGTGAAAGCGTTGCGTCCATGCATGCGGCCGTTAATGACTGTGGGGTTTACAATTAGCCGATCAAATTCTGTGTCCTTGCTTACAGCAAAAAGGCCAACTGCTTCTTCACGAGGCACTGAGTGCGTTGGGATCAAACAGCATGCGCCCAAAGCATCCCACTTGGCAGCGAGTGCCAAAAGCTCGCTCTTCGAGCAATGAACTTTTGCCCGGACAAGGACAGGCCACTGCGAGGGGTCCTTTCTAAGCACATCCGGGTCATCGTAAGCAGCTCGCACAACAGGGTCACTGAGGTACGGTCTAGGGTCAAACCGGGGCCCAAGTTTCCACTTAATGCGTGAAGCTACGACTTCCTTTGCAGGGCAAATGTTCTCACGCGTGCTAGGAGCTGAGCGAACACACTCTTGGTGGTCGGACTGTCTCTGCTTGACTGCTTCAAGATCAACATCCTGGCCGGGTGAAAAGTCAGGCGCGTGGCTGGGCCTGCTGTAAGCGTCAAAGGCTTGGTGGATATCACTGAAAAAACTATGCAAGTCGCCCAAGGGGACCCTACATGTGAGGTCTTGAAGCGCACAAAACAAATTCCCAAACTTCTCACCAGCTCGTCCTAAATCTCCTGTAGCCACAGCAGGAGCAGTCAAGAAATGTGTGAGGCCTTCCAGGCGTTCCACCATGTCCAACTGTGCATCAGACATGGCAGCGCCAAGGCAGGCGCGCGGCGGGGCCTCGTGGAACCGCCTCCGCTTTCGCCTCTTTGGTGAAAGTTTGGTTGGGCCCGTCCAACGCCACTGTGGTGGGGGACAGGGCCACAGAGCGCGTGACCGTGATGGCCACGCGTGACCATCGGGAGCGAGTCGCAAGCTTCGCTCAATAAAGCGCGAAAGCCCAGCGTGGCATGAATGCATGAGCTTCAAACAATGCAGCGTCAGCTCAACAATGTTAATTTTGTCAGGGAATCCCTGTGCTTGCATTTTCGGGGACACGTCATCAAGGCTAGCGGAAACTGAAGTATCAGAGTTGGTACCTTTGGTAGCACACTGCTTTTCAGGCTTCTGCTGCTTCTTGAGATTTGCCCCCCGACTTCTGGCTTCACTCAGGCAGCGGCTGGAGCCTCGCCCTGCCGTTTGTCCTTTCGGCGGAACTGCTTTCGCTTGTTGGGCTCCTCCTCCATCTGCTCGGTCTGCTTGCCCTTGGTCGCGCCAAGGTTCTTCATGCGCCCCTCCAAGTAGTCCAGGTCGCGCAGGTAGGACACGTTTGCAGCTACCCAGGAGGCGTGTGCAAGACGACTGAAAGGCTTCAGAGAAGACTTCTTCTTGTTCAGCTGGAGGAGTTGAAGGTTGGGCTCGGACACGCCCGTCAGCAACCAACCCAACTGAGTTCGGCCTCCGTCCAGACAGGTCTGCTCCACGAACATCAAGCCCTTGGCGGCAAAGCCCTGAAGATCCAGCATCAGGTTTGGGGGTGTTGCGTTGGCACTGAGACCCAATTCTTGGGCCGCATTTGCCTCGACAAGGTCTGCCACTCGGATGGGGTCGTTCATGATCTTCACGAATGCTTCGCGGGCCACACAGCCCTTCACCCCGGTCTGGCTTGATCCACTGGAGCTTCCATCTCCACCTGCTAGGGCAGCCTGGACTGGGTCGGCTACGGACTTGGAACCAAGCAGGTGCTGCAGCAGAGTATTTGTTTGCCGCATTTGCAACGCCAACATCCGCTGAACAGGATCCTGAACTGCGCCCCCATCCAGAAGATCTTGCACCTCCTCTTGGTCGGTCGCCTCCAAGTTCATCTCGACCATTGCCGGTCCCGCGCTGGCCTCGGGCTTGACTGCTGGAGCAACATGCTCGTGAGCTCCGAGACGTCGAGGGGCAGGCCCCGCCAAAGTGCGCAGCCGCTGCAAGTCCTGAGGGCTCAGACACTGCGTTGGGCTGGGGCGACAGAGGCCTGGCCTGCTTGTAGGGCTTGCTGCTGCTGGCGCACGAGGGCTTCGAGCTCTGCCACTCGCTTGGCCAGCACGTTGTCCTGAGCAGGACTGCCTGCCGGCAACCCCTGCGGCGTGTCCGCCGCAAGCAACTCGGCCTCGTCCGCCGAATCGCCGGTGACGTAGTCCTGGGCCGTGTCCTCGTCCATCGTCTCCGTAATCCACCTGTCGGCTGCGGCAGCTGCAGACGCCGCAGTTGGGCGAGCTGGCGAACCATCCGCGGCAAAGGCGACCAGTTGACCCGGCACGAGGCCCCGAGTGTTGGGCTTTCTGAACAGGACCCCCTGCTCGAAAGAAAAGTCTACCAAAAGAGCTCGCATCGGTCCCAAAGCACGGCCGCGGCTGGTTCAAACAGAGAGGCGCGTGTCCGTCGGGGCCCGCCCAAGGCAGTCCAGGCAGTCGGTGACAAGGGCCTCGTCTGGGAGGACAGCCATGAATCCCCCAGACCGGCCTCGGACCAAGTAGGAGAGAGCCCGCCAAACCATCGCGCCCTCCTCGTCGACATTGAGCAGGTGCACTAGCGGAAGGGCTCGAGCGAGGAGCCTTTGAATTTCCGCCTCGGGAAGTGAAGCCATCACGGACTTGACGAAAGTAGAGCGGCGCCAAAGCCGTGTTGCCACTGCGATCGCTCCCCAGCTAGGCGTGGGCGGTATCCACTGAGTCGCCGCCGAGCTTCTTCAGGCGGACGCGCCTCTGTCACAGGCTGCAAAGCAACCAGCAAGGCGCGAGCCAAGCTTGCAACTCCACTGCGACAACCTCGAGAAAGAAGCAAGCAGGCGCAAAGCCCGCCCCAACAGCAGCCCAGCACACCGCAAATCAGGCCGGTCAGGACCACGAAGGTGAGGCTGAATCCCGATGCTGGCGCGGACCAAGCCGCCCAAGGAATGCTGCGGATTGCGTCTAGGGCGAATGCGCTCCAACTCATTAGCCAGAAGCTGCGCAAAATGAGGTTGCCCTTGCCTTGTTTAAAGAGATATGGGACATATAAACCTTGATAGGCACTCACATCTTATCCATGGGGCGTGTTTGCTCCGTTCCGCAGCTTCTGGGCTTTTGGAAAGCATCTTAGACCGGTTGTGCCTACCTGCGTTCCGATGCTTTCGGTTCTTTGAAGAAAAACAATGGCACCCACAAAATTGGCACATCCACAGTGCCACGGTGGCGACTCCGCCAATTGCGGCACGGTGCTCTTTGTATATAACACCCTTATGATGATCTAAACTCCCTACCAGAGAGCCTGCAAGGCTCGTGACTCGGCCTGCTAGGCCAGGCTTCCGAAAACCGGGTTTCGGAACCCGCCAAAATATGAGTTTCCGGTCACAGCGGATGGTAACAACTCGAAAGATAGGACTAGGTCCCCCAGTAGTGCCCTACTAAAAGAGACCACAGAAAAAACGGGTACCCTTATTCCAACCTCTCTACTGGAGGACCTCGTGGAAATGGACGGCTTCCCTTTGAGCTCCCTTTGAAGCAGCGCGAAAAGGGGCGTTGCTTGGGCGCTTCAAGCCACAGCCCTTGCTGGGCTTTTCGGCAGGTGGCGAGCGTGGCCAGCACGCAGAAGAACAGCTCCCGGTTGTCAGGCGGAGCCGGAAAGTTGGGTGGGATCTGGATGCGATGGGCTCCCCCGATCGATTTTCCCCCCCACCCCTTCCCCCCTCTTTCGAGTTTCCAGGCCAACTTTATTGGAGGAAACCAGAAGGAAACCAGAAGGAAACCAGAAGGAAACCACAAGGACACCATTCCTTAAAAGCAGCCCTCCAGCGCCTCCTGTGAGACCTTCTGGCCATAGGTCACGGTCTTTTGAGGGAACCTCTAGCGAGGGGAACTTTTTGGGTCCGAACAATCTGACCCGTCCCTCATTTTCGGCTAGCCCATCCTTGTTTTGGCTTGCCACTCTCTGCACCCTTGCGCACTTTCCGAGCTGTACCTTCCCTGTTCTCTTCGTGTTTTTGCCGCGCCTTTCGGGGTTCTTTCTCAAGCTGGCTTCCTCACTTGTCCAAGGGCTGCCAAGGCTCGAAGTTCGGCCGTTGAATTGGGTTTTGGTGCCACTTCTGCGGGGAATCCAAGGGAATCCCCCAGAAAAGTAGTGCGTCATGGAAAACGGACGCACCTTGGAAGCACCGAGTCGTTGGATGTTTTTCTTCCACCCGCGAGTTGGATGGCGCAACTCCCATCGCATGGAGGACTGGTTTTGCCTTTCAGCAAGGCAGGAGAAGAACACCGCAGCACTGGGGGTCCCAAGAGCCCTGAATCGCAAGCCATCGGCTTCCCTCGAAAAGGGCAATTGGTTTGGAGCCAGGTGGTTAGGTGTTCAGAGGCTTCAAATCCCACCAATCCAAAGCAACGGTTTATGAGGACCTGAGAAGTTGTGATTCAAGGATTCGGTATCAGAATCGAGGCGTCAGCAGCATCGGCAGCGAGTTCATCAGCGACCAGATCCCTTTGCATCAGCGAGAGGCCCGAGGGTTCCTTTTTTTTTTGGCTTTTCTCTCCGCCGCGCAGGAACTGCAATGTTTCAAGTGTCGACATGTAGCCGGACTCGCATATGGGTGTGTCTCCCTACAGGCCTTGGACAAGTCTGACTCTGATCGCCTTCTCTATTCTCGGCATGTCGCTCATTTTCTTCGGGTCGTTCCTTTGGCCCTCAAGACCTTCGCTGGGTAGAAGTTTGGTGGACAGTTTTTTTGGGCTCCCCTTTTCAGATGCCATCTTTTTTGGCACATTTCCATGGTTTGCGCTCCACAACATGCTGTTCCCGTTCGTTTTGAGTTGCAGTTGTCAGGGTCGCGGGAAGTCACCATCGTTGGACCCGCCAAAACCCGCGGGGCTCTTTCGAACATCCGCGAGCTCGCCGAAGAGGCAGTGCCCCCTTGTTGGAAGCAGACCCCCAGCTTTTCGGTTTCTCTTCCCAGCTCGGGGTATCCGGAGTATCAAAAACGGCGGGGAGGGGGGGAATCGGACTCTTCCGTGGAAGCGCCAAATCCGCAGGGTTTTCCCGGGGTTGGGGTTGCTCTGAAACTGTGGGTTGTTTTGGGGGTTAGCCTCTTTTTTGAGCTTGGTTTCTGTTAGACTACGCATTTTTTGGTCCATATCCTTTTTTAACACATGTCACATGCCCGTCTTTTCTGGCAGGTGGCAAAGATCCAGACCCAGATGAAGTGCTTCGTGAAGGGCATGGTCCGGGGCCGCGAGATGAACGTTCTCTCGGTGCGCCCCACTCCCCCGCCGTGCCAGATTCCGCCGTGGGGGCAGCCACCTGGTCCGAGCTTGGAAGGGAGCCGTTAGGGAGCTGGGGGTATCCAAATCTGCTTCTAAGGAGCTAAGAAGCTACCAGGCGGTTTTGTAAGGACATGGTAGTTTGCCGCCAGGGGGGGTCATGTTCCAACTTCGAACTTTGAGTGGTGGTGCGAAATAAGATTCCGCAACAGCCCACAGTATGGGACCATTGTCAATGGTTGGTTTTATACATGTTCAAAATAGGGGCACCTCTGAAGTGGGTGGTTTCCCTTGGGTTTCAAGCCAATCCCAACAGGTACCCTCCAAAAAGCTCGACCCTACTGTGGATGGACGAAATCCTGCACCACTTTGAAACCATGGAAAACGACTGTCGGCTGGCATCTACAGGGGGATCATCGTTCCAGGGTGTCTTAGGTGGTGCGCCCATCCACAGTAGTGGTGGCTGAAATCAGGATACAAGTTTTAGCGAATAGACACGCATGGATTTAGCTGCCGAAGTTGTTTGGAACCGCCTCAACTCCTTGCTCGAGCGATTCAGTCACAGGGGTGACAAGGAGAGAAAGCCTACACCATGACCCACTTGAAAGCTCATGTTTTGTGGATACTTGGAGAATGGTCAAGTTAAGCAGCCAGTGATGTTGCCAACCGTCCCACGCTAGGACGTTCGCATGCAGTTGCTGTCCAAAGTTTCTGTCTGGGAGAGTTGCCCGTCAAGTTTTGTGCAGGTCTTTTTGCGGGAGTGCGGTTGAACCAACCAAGAATTTGACAAGCACTGAAGCCTTTTGCAGGGGTTCAGTTGGCCCAACAAAGAATGGTTCAACCATTCTTTCGGGAAAGATAGTTCAGAGCCTACTGACTGACCGGGACTGCCGGGGCTGTCCTGTGCCATGACTGCATGCGCCGTCTGCTGACGCAGGCGCAAGACCGAGAGATACTTTGAGTCGTTTGTTGCTTTACATGTTTGAACACTAGGCACCAGGGCTCCATCTTTTGGTTCACATCAAGGTATAGACTTAAACCCGGGTATGCTTGAAAAACCCGGGGGTGCTTGAAAAACCCGGGCAAGACCCTTGAGCTTTTGTTTTGTGCCTGCCTTGGTGGCTTGCACCCTGCAACACCGCTTGCCCTTTGCTGGGGTCTCTAAAAGTATGCATTGTGTTGGGATAATAATTCCAACCAAATCCGGTTTTAAAGTACCCTTCAACCCCATTCTGATTATTTAGACTATATTGGACTAGATACGCAACTGAATCTGAACATATTATTTCCACTGTATCCCTTCGTTGTGGGCCAAGTTTTACGGGTCATCCCCGCAAAAAAACAAATAACACCACCGGCGGCACTCCTTCGGTGCAAGCCCGCCACGCAGTCCTTTCAGCGCGCGAGGCGCGGGTGCTGCGACTTTTTCCGCGGATGTCTGGCTCTGAGGCGCGAGAAAACCGCCGCCCCTTCCCTCCCCCACCACTCGGCGGGGCCATCTCTCGGATCTGTTTTTTACGTCTCCAAGTGCGAATACCGTGCCCTGGAGGGAAAAATACCAAGACCACTGCGGAGGGTTGCGAAATCCGCTTCTCGCAGCACTTTGAAACCACGGGGAACCATGACGTTTGCATGGTGTGTACGAGGAAATCATCAATCCAGGGTTTCTTAGGCGGTGCGAAATGGAGTTCGTCCAGCCACAGTAGCACCGTTGCAATGTGGAACTCAAGTCGTGTGCGGGTGTGCGGTGTGGGTGTGTGTGTGAAAATAGGGGGCTCCGGATATATTCTCCCTTTGAACGTCACCCCAAAAGCAAGGAGAAATATGCATGTGTCTTTTTGTGAATATACCCATTTGAAGCAAATCAAAGGACACCAAAAGGTGTTTTGTATGTCAAGACACACCCATTTGTTTGTTCGGTGTTTTGTTTGTTCGGTGTTGGTATTCGTCAAAAAAGGGGGGATGGCCCAAAATGGTGGCTTTCTTTCTGGTTTGCCTTTCAAGCCTGAACAAAATGCCCTCACAAGACACAACGTGTATTGTTTGGCTCAGATTCCTTTGGGAGGCCTCGGGGGACCAAATCATAAGGCTAGAAAAGTTGGCTTGGTCAGGGGCAGTCTTGCGCCTACTTGCCGAGTCCGTCAGCCGACGTCCCCCCCCGTTTTTTTTTTTTTTAAAGATGAGGATTACTTGCAATCTCACTCTCTCGATTGGTTGGGGCTCCTTCTTTGCCAGCCACAGATCGACCCACCTTGCGCCCATCGCGTCGAGAACGGCGAAAACGACACGAGTCGTGCTTCGAAGCCACGACTCCAGGCAGAGGCCTCCGCCGCCAGGCCCGAGGTCGGAGGTGCGGGCCAATGCTTTTGCGCGAAGCCCCTGGAAGCGACTCCCCTCGAAGGTGTTGCTTCAATGATGCCCCGACTAACATGGCATCTGTGGGAGGGTACGCTGGAAGATCAAACTTATCTTGGAGGGACCCCTTTTTTCAGGTGCCATGTTGGGAGAGAGGGTAATTAATCGGGTCTCCGGGAGTGGAAATGCAACTTGCACGTCGGAGTTGTAGAGCAAACATTGAGACAATTTAGGTGATGCAACTCACGGAATGGGGACTGATTGACTGCGGATGTCCGGGGATGCCAGGTCATCCAAGTACCTGGCCCCCAAGCTGTGGCTGTTGCCCTTCTTTCGCCACCTTTTCGCCGTGCCTGGTTCTGCGTTTGGCACCCTTTTGGGTGCCAGTTCCTTTGTGGACACCCCATGTCTTGGATTGGTTGTGGTAGCCAAGGCAGGTGGCGGAACCAGCGGGAACCATCAGAGGAAGGTGCCGGTTCGCTACTGCCCAGAATCTGCCGCAGAGCTCCAGAGAGCATCGGCAAGACTTCAGCTGGCCACGAAGCTGGGGTTGTGTTAGCTCTGAACAGATACACCTCAATGCGCAAGGACCCTCCTAGAGCTGGAAGCTCAGTCAGAGCTGGAAGTTCAGTCTTTACCTTTGTTCTTTTTTTTCCCCCGCTTTAACTTGCAGGGAGTGCTCAAAGCCAAGGGAATTCAATGGCCACTTCCCTTTGGCTTTTGTTTTCCTTTAAATTACAGGGAGGGTCCCTCAAAGGAAAGGGAATTCAATGGCCACTTGTTGGGGCAACGAGCAAAAGGGAGACTGTTCAAGCGAGACAGAACTACACTAAGACCCGTGACACGGCCTCGATAAGGGACCCTTTCAGTTCCATACATTTTCGAGAAGGGAAAACATACAAAGGGGAGAGAGTTGGGGGTGGAGGTATTTCATAGCTTTTGGACATGCAGGAAGTCCTGTTCTCATGTCATATGGCGATGAGCTCTGAGACTGATTTTTCTCACAGCCAGTTGGTGGACATACAACCCCACGGTAAGTTCCACAAACAAGTTTTAAAAAATGGACAACCACACCTGCTCCTTCTTGCAATTTGTTTAGTCCTGGCTGTGAAACATCAAGTAAGATGCCCTGCGCGTGTTTCCACAACGAACAGGGGATCACCCTGTTTTCCTTGTGATTCCCTTTGAAACCTTCTGGGGGGTCCGGTTTTTGGACAGACATTTGAGGCAGCGATTTGCCTCTAAGCCATCGAAAAGGGGGGGGGCAAAGCCCGAAGCCGTCCAACAAAATGAAAAGAAAGCTTCAGCGTGTTTGATGAGTTACGGACTTGGATTCGATGTCTGCAATGTCTTTGGACGGCTTCAGATTGGTGATTCCGGACGTTTCCTTTTGAAGTCCTGAAGTTTCAGTTGTTTTGACTTGGTTCCACTCGGCTCTTCACTTTGCCGTGCCCGAAATCGGCAGCAGGCAGACCGGCGCGGCAGGGAGGGAAGAGGCGAGCCAGCCGCTCGCGGAGCGCGTGGCGATGTCGAGCGGAACCTGCCGAGGTCACGCAGGATGACAGGTGTTCATTTAGCTGTATCTTTGCAGAGACCCCCCAAACAAAAGAAGCACCTCCTCTTTTTTTGGGGTTCTGTGAAAAAATGGGTGGGCAAAGCCGGCGATACTTTTTTGGGGCTAGCGTACCACCTCGCCAACTCGAACTGATGGTTTGGAGCCTAACAAACTGGAGTGAAGTCGGTGCCTGGCCGTAAAGCATTAAAGATGCTTCGGGGCGGTGGGTGATGCAACCCTGTCTCAAGTTCAAAATGAGGAATGCCCCTTGGAATCAGCGGATGCCTAACTTAGCATTCTTCGGGAAGGTTGTATAGTTCCTCAGTCGCACTGCTACCATGGGTTCCATTGTGGCGTAAGTTCATCACCGGGCTCACTAGAGCTTGGTACTGCAAGAGGCCGTCCGGAGTTGCATACGATGCGCTACCGAGCATTGGAAGTGTTGCCGGGGCCCGGTCTTTGTTTGGTGTTGGCCCGTTTTTTTTTGGAGGCGGGGGGGGGGGGCGTTTAATGGGCCTCACATCAGCAACTGAGAAGCTGACTGAAATTTGGGGCGGGCTTGGCCCACAAAAAGCGGGGTGCCGCGGGATTTGAGAGCGTGGTCTTGTTGTTTTTTTGGGTTTTGTCTTCCAACACAAGGGGGGGGCGGTGGTAATTTACGCCCTTAGGTGCCGATTGATTCGGGCGGCATTTGAGGTGCGTGAGCTCTCTTTGGCAACATGCAAGCCTCCATTGAACCACCACCTCTGCCATATCCTGCTTGTTATTTTTTTTTAGACGGTCCCAAAGTGGCTTCGGGTGTCCTGCTGGTTTGCCTTGAAACCAAACCCAAAAAGGCCGAAAAAAACACCCACTTATCTCACAGGAACGTAGTTGCCGGATCTGTTGCGTCCATGGGGTGGAAGTGCGCCGACCCCTTTTGCAGGACGCTGCGATAAGAAGGGACGCGAGACATAAAGCTAAGCTACCATTTTGAGGAGGAGCTTGTTTTTGCACAGCCACCCATAGACTTGTAGATACACTGCATATTATAATATACATGCAAACATGCGTATTCCAATAGACATGTATCTTCATCCATACTGCTATAGGGATAAACGCGTGTAACCATGTGTATACTATCGAACATGTATGTCCATACATACTGGTATTAGCATATCTGCATATGTATATGTATATATCGTATATCATATAACAGGTCATACACAATATATGTTATACAAGATTTATCACACATATTATAAATAAATATATGTATATATACACTTGTATATTATACATGTACATACTATATAGTCAAACAACTAGACATGTCGATATACATACAATACATCCACGTATCTATACACACCACCAATAGACCGGTGACCTGCGACCGGATGCATCAACAGTATGTGCCAATCTCCGAGTTTTTCTAGCGAGCGGCGGTAAACGAGCTCACCAAGATGTAGCGATCCCTTTACTTGGCGATTCCTTTTCAGGTTGTCGAACTATTGCAATATTTGCAGATACGATGGATGCCCCAACCAAGGACTCCGATGCTCGAACTCAACGTTGACCGTGATTTATCCCCCCGCGCCATGCTTTCGTTTCTTCTTGGTTGGTCTGTTTACTTGCAATACTGTGGATGAACGAAATCCTGCACCGCCCAAGAAGCCCTGGAATGATGATTTCCCTGCAAATACCAACAAACCATGGTTTCAACCCTAGTTTCTTTGTTGGTGCGAGAAGCGGATTTCGATTTCAACCCTCTTATGGCCGGACTCGGCACGCGCACCAATCTCCGTTATCGGCCCACAGCGGCTTGCGCACTCTGCCAGGTCCAAGAAGAAGGCGGCGCAGGCGAGTTCGGTGGGATGTCCAGACTAGATTTGGTGTTTGTTGTGTACTGGAATTCGTTTTCTTTTCTTTTAATGCTAAATGTCCCCTTTTTCTTTGCTACATGTTCGGCAGATTTGCGTTTTCTCTCTCTCTCTTTTTTCTGTGTTTGGGCAATTTTCTGTTTCTCTTCAGACCTGCCGGTGGGTTCCACGTGGGTCTTTGCTGGACTTATTTGCCCTTTTGGGTTTCCTTCATTTTTCCCTTCGACCAAAGTTATTGACCAGACTCAAGTGGGGTATCCAAGTTACTAAAATGGCGCCCCCAAAACCTGGATGTCCTTAGGCAATGCCACACCTGGTCGTCCGACTCACTCCAAATGACCAAACCAAGGGCAGAGATTTCACATATTGGGTCCTCTTGTTTCCCTTTCCGGACCGACTTTCTGCTTGTGAAAGGGTCAACATATTGCAGCAACTCGACGCATCCCTTGCCCAAAGGCCAGGGGCTCACACCAATTCGACTTCCAACTCTCCTCGAAATTCCCGTTGGACAAGCGATTGGTGGCAATGAATTCATTGGAGGTGCAGAACCCGAGCTGTTTACCGAACAGCACATTTCTAGCACCGACCTCTCGCACGGCCTCAGAACTTGGGCGGTAGGGTTGTTTTGGGCTTCAGAAGCTTGCGGATTTGTTCTTTTCCTCGATATGTTTCACAAAGTGAGCTACACATGAGCCTTTGACACTTCTCAGATTTGACGAGCCGGCGCGAACATCAAGTCACGGAACGCAAAGAGATCCCTTCAAAAGGTATCACATATGACATCCTTTTCGACGCCGCAGGAACCTTTTCCGATGACGAATGATGTATTTAAGGAGGCGCTTCTTCTGGCATTGTGGATGTGGGAGCTTGTAGCTTCACTTTCACGGTTCTTTACATGTTTTCCAACATCGCTTTTTTTGGTTCTTGATCTTGGAAATAGACGGATTCCACCAGTTTCAGATATCGGTTTCCATTTTGTGCTCCCGCCCCCAGGCGGAAACTGCCGGCTATGCAGCCACAGGTGCGGGAGTTGCGTTTTCATTGGTGGGGGTTGAACGGGGAAAACGGGTTCACATTGGCATGGAAGCCCAAACGTGGAACCTGAGTTATGCTCTTTTCTTTGTAAGTGGTTCAGACGTCAGCTTGCGGTTGCAAGTTAAATCTGGTGTGTGTTCTTGGAGGGGCGATGTTGAAAGGGACATACGAGGCAGCTTGTTTGTTTTGGGGTTAATTTACAGGGGAACACAACTGGCATGAAGGGTAGGGGTCAAGCCCTGTTTCGATTTGGCCTGGGAGATCTGCCGAGGATGCGTGCAAAGCTCAGCTTGCTGGGCTTTTGGGCATGCTGGGATTGTTGTGCCCTTGGCCAGCTTGCAAAGTCAGGCTTGCTGGTCACGTCGGGGGCGCTGTGTTTGACATGAGAAGGCCGTGTTACAGCCCAAGGGCAATGGGTAATACGGGCGCTGCTGAAATCAAAGGCGCTATGGGGAGGGGGGCAATGTGGGCTTCAGGGATAGTTCCCCATCGACCCTAGGGTGTCCATGACGACTTGTCTCAAAGTAAGGGAACCCTCAAAATGGCAACGGTTGCAATTTTGGTCCCCCTTGGCTGGAAGATCAATTTCCTCTTGGAGGGACCCCCCTACAGTATCAGGTGCCATGTTAGAAGGGGAGGGTGCCCTCAACAAACAAGGATTTGGTTATGGGCGGGGCGCTCAACTGACGTGAGGTTCAGCCTAGAGAGGCGTCTCTTGGGGCACCAAATCTTGTTCGATCTTGTTTTTGGGCTTCCCCGCGCCTCTTGTCCGTCAAAAAGAAATGCCGCACGAGGTCGGCACGGTCCGAGCGGACAGGAGCGACTGGGGTGACCTGGTCGGTTTTTTCTCGCTGGAGAGCTAGGACTTTCCATAGCCAGACTGAACTTGCATCTGAATGTGTGTCCTTTTTTTTTTAGGGTACCCTTTTTTTGAGGAGATCAAAGGGAAACCAAAAGGAGCCCCACCAATTTTGGCGGTTCCCCCTACAAAACCACCCACACCCCTTTTGGTTTTTCTTCGGATCCTTCCGCCGGATCCGGCCGGCTGTGCCATAGGCTTGCTCGGTTTGGGGAGGTTTGGAGTTTGGAGTTAGGACCTGTGGGACAATTGTCAATGTGTTTTTTCTTTTTGGTGTCAAAATAAGTGGTTTCCTGTGAGTTTCAAGCCAGCCTGATGCTTTTGCCTTTTGGGGGTTGCCTTGTTTGAGGGACCCTGTTGGGGTTGACTTTAGAGGGAAGCTACAGAGACAGTTCCTCTATTTTGAGACATACCCTCTGGGTTTCCTCTTCTTCCCCTTTCAGGCAGCAAACGGTTGGCGTTGGCAGTCTAAGTCTGGCCGAGATACGTTATAAATCAGCCGTCTTATTCTCCTGGCAACAACAACACGCGAATTTGGGGAGGCAACCAGGAAAGGAGTTTTGTGAGATACGTAACTAGTAACATAAAGATTACTCACCTCATAATTGCCAGACTCTTGAGGGCAACTATTCCAAAGGGACGCCAAAAGGGAACGCGCCCTTATGTTGACAAACAAAACAGAGATTTGCTTCCTTTGGACCCAAAGCGTGTGCTTAAACGCATTTTATGTTTGTATTGTTCAGTTCAGTAGGTGGTTCGACTGCCTGGTTTCAGGGGGCTTACGCAAGGGCTATACACGCCTTCATGACCATGTTGGTAGAACCAAAAGTATGGATTGTCGGTTTGGTGGTTTGGGGGTTTCAACTTTAAGCCACCTTGGGACAAGCTCACTTGTGTTGTGTCCTATGCATATATCCAGACCTTCGGCGTTTTAGTTGTCCGCCGTAGTTGAGCAAAGCAACACTTGTTCAACTACTGAAAATGGATTCATTTACAGGTTGCTCAAAACCTCGAAACAGCGGTGTGATTGTCTTTGTTGTAGAGGGGACCCTTTTTTTCCGTTTTACAGGAACACCAGACAGGTTGAAACCACACATTTTGAGGTTCCGCGAAGAACCGACGCTCCCAGTTGGCATTGGTTGTCTTGTTTTCCCACCAACTTTCTACCCCGATCGGGTTGGATGGGCCTTCGCCGTTCGCCGTCGGGGCCTTCTTGGCTTCAGGTCCTCTTCATTGCCAAAAGCTCGACTTCGTCCCCTTTTTTTTCTGGGGCGGGACAAAAATATATCTGGCGCCCCTTGATTCAAAGCGCTGAACAACTTGTTTGGGCCGCCTCCAAGAACCCAATCTTTGCCAAGAGGGGCGCGACTCCCGCGCCGAATCCGCCAAGCTTCGCCCTTTGCAGGTTCAGAGAAAGATTCGAGTCTCGCTTTTGAAAAACAATCTCGTTTTTGTCAGTGTCCCCAAACAAACCCCTTCACTCCAGTTCTCACGTGGCCAGAGCGCCTTTTTTGCCCAACCCTTGAAAAGTCCAAAGGCCTTCGTCGCGGCGCCTTCGGCCTTCGTCGCGCCCGATGTTTCTCCTCCTCGCGCTGCCTGTCGCGGCCCTCGCCGCCTTCGCCGTGGACGACGAGTGCCGCGAGCAAAGCTGCGCGCTGTCGGCACTGCAGCGGCGCGCGAGGCTCACAGGCGGAACGGAGGGAACGGAGGGAGGAACTGGGGGTGGGGCTTTAGCGCATAAATCCAAGGGCGGAGTCTTTTTCCATTCGCTAGACCCATCTTTCCTGATGGAAACGAAACCACTCATATTCCCATTCGAAGAGAACGATCGCTTCACAAGGGATAGGCGCGGGCTTTCAGAGCAGATTCAAGCGTCACTCTCGGCTCGTAAGCCGTGCGAGATGGGAAGTGGTTGGTGGACGTGAATCCCCAGATGTCCAGCAAAAGGTCCCTATAATTCAGATTGATGCCAACTGGGCATGCTTCATTCTTGAGGGCCAGAACTTGCCTCAAAACCAGGTACAAGAGGCTGATCAAAGCTTCCGGTAAAAGGTCAGTACGCCTCGTGGGTTTTGGGTGTTTAGCTTAACAAAGTGTTCCCTCGCGCAAGACCCCCGAGAGTGGAGAGCAGATTTCCCCTCTTATTCCACTCAAGCCACTTGTCTAACGTGGCGATTAGAATGATGGGCGTCCTCCCTCTGTTCGAAAATGGGGCCTTTCCGAAAAGTATCAGAGACACTGGCATGAAGCCCAATTTTCCACATACCTCCCATACATCCCCGTGCAAAGAAACTCTGAACTGAATTTGGCAACTAGGTGAGTCAAGATCAACACCCAGCCCTCCCCCCTGGTCTAAAACCCAAGACTCGCGTTTGGTGTGTTTATTGATATTTTTCTACTCCAAGAATTTCCAAGACTCTTGTTTGGCGTGTATTTTTCCTGACTCCAGGAATTGCCAGGTTTTTTCCATATCCCCAAGACATTCCCAGCCCCGGGGGGTTTCCTTCGCAGGCGAGGTCGAGGAGGCGAGCCTCGAGTCCGAGTCCGAGGCCGCGGCGGGGAACGCGAGCTTCCGGTACTGCGAGGACAGCTGCTGGCTGGACTATGGCTTCATCAAAGGACCGCGGACCCCCCCCCCCCCCGCCACCCCTTTTTGCTTGGGTGGGAGTTGCAGCTGGGCGAAGCAGGCCGGTTTTGCCGTCTTTTTATTTTCATTTTTTCGAGGGGGAGTTGGTTGGCGCACTTTGTCCGGTTTTTGTTTGTGGTGTTGAAGCAAAGGAACACCTTCATCAAAGGAGGGCCGGGGGTGCAGCCTAGGGGGGGCAACCTGGGTAAGCCTGAGATGACCCACGAAGCTGGGTAGGTGAGTGGGAGCTGTCCCAGGCCTTGACACGTCCTTGTCTTCTGAAAAGGGGGGGGGTTGGAACTGCCTTTGTCGGCGTTTTTGGACGCGTCCCTTTGGTTTTGGAGTTGGTTGGAGTACTTTCCGGTTTTTGTTGGTGGTGCTAAAGTAAAGGGAGTACCACCTTGTTTTAGTTGGGGCCTGGCTTTTTTGGCGCCCCTTCTGGCTCGGCAACGGTGAACCCTTCCAACAGTCGCCCTAAATGGATAGGGTTCTGGAAGACTGTCCATTTGGGGCTTGGCTCAAGCCCTTTGGGAAAAGAGGGTGCCGGAGTTTGTATTCTTTCGGGCATGGCACGTCACCCCACCACAAGAAAGCCCAGTTTAACTCAGACCAGATGATGTTTGAAACCACGCATCAAGGCATTAAATGGGTGTGGCTCAAAATGAAAGGGCTAGACCAAAGGCTTTTGTCTTTGTTTCCGTTTACCAAGGTAACCTACCAAGGCACCATTTTGGGGCTTCCGTTTGTTTTTGCGCCAAATGTCGGAGTTGTCTCCGAGTTCCGATCCAGGCGATTGCCGCTGCGACAAGCACCACGGCTGGTACATGTGGATCTGCTGGAAACGGCACGGGCACCGGATCAAGACGGAGCCTTGGGCCACGGGTCGACAGGTGGACCAGTCGAGCGCCAGGTCGTGGGTTTTTCAGTTTCCGCCATGCCCCTTTTTGGGACCTCCGAACAAAGGATTCAATGGACAGGGCCAGTAAATTGATCAACTTGGGAAGGGGAAATCCAGCGACTGCGTTTGACGAGCCCAAGATCTTGTTTGAGCCATCACCAGAAACCGAAAGGAGTAGGTCGTCGAGCCTTCTTTTGGGTTGACCACTAGTGAGTAGCCCACTCAACAAAAGGGACGCGTGACACCGCTGCTTCGCGACCAGGAGGGATCCCTGGCGACATCTACGGGTTTAAGTCTACTTTGTAGTCGAAAAATGGAAACCTGTGGTTTGTTTCTCGAACTGTCCCCAGCTACACTCCAGATTAACACGTAACAGGCCAAGCCATGTTTAGAGGAATCCCCTTTTCGGAAACCTCTTAGGAGTATCCCGGTAGATCCCAGGCAAACCACTCTAGGTAAGCATCCATTGTCCTTAAAGGGTGTTAGGGTTCCCTCAGGAAGGAAGCGCCTGGTTATGTTTGAGGAGCATCCCAGCGCGAAAAATCCATGTTTGGGGCAAGTCCAGTGGGTCCCGTAAAGTGGTTGCATCGTGGGAGTTTTGTTCTCCGCAAATTGGCGCCCGTTTACTTGTGGTGGGAACACCTGGATAAAAACACGCGCTTATAAATTTGAGGATGTAACTTGAAGAAACGGACTCAGAACCTTTAGCTATGGGTCAAAACCAATGGTACCATTTTGGGGTAGGTGCACCACCCATTTTAGAACATATTTTAGTGGGGATGTTCACTGGGGGTACGATTCGGATTTTGACCCATGGCCATATCATGTTATTCGTACCCCTGACACCAAGACATTTCCATCTCAGGAGTACGGGCACCAGTTCAACTGCCACGGCCTCTCGAAGCCTGCGCCGCCGCCGCCGCCGCCGCCGCCGAAAGCCCCGCCCCCGCCCCCGCCGCCGGTGAAGACCTATGCGTCGAAGGAGCACCCGGAGTACAAGGCCACAGGAAAATGAGGGGTCTGCATTTGGGAGTGGCTCAAAATGAACTGCCAGGGGTACGCATGTTTTAGTCTTTGGTTCCATCTACCAAGGTATCATTTTGGTACATTTTTTGAGCCACAGCCATTTGGGAGTGGCGATCCGGAGGTCGCTGCCAATTTCGTGATTCGGGATTGAATCACATGCCGGGATTGAATGACATTTTCTGGATTTGGGGTCGTTGTTTTGGTTCAGTTTTCAGTTTCTTCAAGGGCATGTTCAGGTATGTTTTTGTTTTCGCAGTGGCATTCTGCAGGTATGGCTTTGATAGGTATGGAGGTCACCAAAGTCACTTTTATAATATAGGGGGTACAATGTACTGCCTTGCCAGCTTATATTGGTGTTACATAAGCAGCCACGCCTCCCAAACCCATATCACTTGGGGGTTCTCAAAG